TCAGGTTCTTTCATCTTACATCTGCCGGCGTGCAGGTTGGAGGTGCAAAATGCCTTAGCGTTTAATGTTAATTTGTGCCTGTGTTCATGGAATAAATCAGCACTGTTTTGTAGTTACTTGGACTGCCTCGTCTCTCAGAGTCAGTATGGTAAAAAGTACCGGGTACAACAGAATTAAGGATAGTGAGATATAAAGAGACTTAGACTTTAAATTACAGTGCAGCAGCATAAAAAAGCAAACATCCAATAAGCTTTCTACTCCCATATGGTGGCATAGAGGGCTCAACGTACTGATAGCCCTTGGGCCAAACTATTTCAGGACCTGTTGAACTGTAGCTCAGGAGCAAAAAGTTCCCATTAGTCTTGCTATGTGAAGTAGTGTGCATCTACACTACTTCAGTTTGACCACTTAGTCATACCAACCATCAAACACATGTGGTCTACACTAGAAAAGCCACTAGCCACTTTAACCTGGCCACAACATGGCCATTGTACCAAACCTTTTCACCTTGTTTCCACAACTTAACCAGCTGAGCCAAAGCAAACAGAAAATTACCTGCAACTGCAACTGATTTTCCTCTAGCAGAGCACACAGAGCCAAAGATAGATGCGTCTCACAAAAAAAAAACTCCCTCTTGCTTATCACACACAGCTCGTTCAGCAACCATAAAACACACTGAACTCTGTGGCATAGAAGAAAAACACACCTAACCATTTCAGACAGGAAGAGAAAGAGAGAGAGGGAGAGACAGCTGCCAAATAGACGGCCGAGTGGCCACGTGTTTCATTTCTTCCTGCTATCTGCCTTACATTTATGATAACACAGCCAGAGTGACAAGCATGGATGCAACAGTGGCCATGCTGGCTTCAGTCTGCTAGCCAGCAGGATTAGAAACACGGCTCCTCTCCCACTGATAGCTATGTTAATGAGGATGTAAAGCAGAATAACGACAAGCTACCCACAGAAATGCACCAAAAGATAAAGAGGTGTGTGTACCTGGACTTGAATTTTGCTGCATTTGCAAGGAAAATAAACAACAGGATGATTAAAAAGATCAAAGTAACTTTGGAGACTCTCATTTCAATGCAACTTTAGTCCCAGAAACAAAGACGTCAATTAATAACATATGATAAATGGACATACTGAGAAAACAAACATCATTTACCTGTAACAAAACAAATTCCTGGCATCAAATCACCATGACTCAGCAGAATGTGAGAGTACATGGTGTAAGTTTACAAAGTCAGTGGAGAATGAAGCTGTCATTGAAGTTGTCAGTGGCAGCCGTCATCGTGTCAGCCTTGTCTGCCAAGGGCGTCGCCTCCCTTTGACTGAAGAGACCACTCAATAAAGCTAGATGGCAATCTGGAGGCTAAATTGAGTCACGTCCTGGCCTCAGACAAGATGAATTCACTTATTAATGAGAGCATTCAGGATTTATGTGTGGCAGCAAGGTGAGCCCCACATCTTAAACAGGCACATGCTCTTCATTCTGGCTAAATCCACTGACTCACACCCTCTCTGAAGAGTGCTCACAGTCATACATACAGCATCTTTTCACTCTTGTCTGCACTGCTCAGCACCAGCAATTAATACAGTGCAGCCTGCCCTGTGCTGTATTTGCAGGCCACAGTCAGAAGACCCTGATGCCAAGAAGACAAGACCGTGTAAGAAATACTTGGGTGGCTCTGGCAGAGTAATAGCCCTTCAATTTTCACTCGATAACTTTTCCATAAGTCACAGGAATCAGAAAGGTGGGTAGAGCTCGGCTTGAATAATGCTGTGTTCATGCGGCAGAAATGTTCTTTCCTCCTAAGGGAATCGTTTCTTATCATGGCAATGTGATGTAAGAAGAGATATGTGGCATGTTTATGGTGTAAAGCAGTGGTTCCCAGCCAGGTAGTTGTGGCCCCCCAAGGAATTCCAAGATCTTGCTACTGAGCAGTAGAATGATGATTATAAGGATTTATGCTGTGCAAAAATTTGATTAATGTTTCAGATACGGATCAAATGTTTTTCATATTTCATGTTCAGTACTGTAAAGTACAACATTTTTTTTAATGATTAGTTCGATCATTCAGTTTTCTTTCTGGATTTGAAAATGATTTATCTTTTTGCATTAAGGGTTTAGAGTGTAGCTAGAGTGGTTATTTGCATAGGCCCTGAAGCTACACCGTAGGCTAGCTGATGTGCACCTCCTCAAAGATGTAACTACATGTTAGGGCTATGGCAGGTACAAAGACCGTGGGGAGTGGTCACTGGTCAGTTTGGGCTTTTTGTGTTTTCTCCTACGTGTTTGTTATGCAGGTAGAAAGCAAGTCCCAGTTATCTTTTCCTTTTTAATAAAACATTTAGAAAGGTGGCTTTCACTACAAACCCTCTGCTCACCTTAATCACTGTTTTCTATGTCACAGAGATTAAAAGAACATACACTTCTGCATGACTTCACAACATTTGGTTCTTATCTGTCCTCAGCTTCTGTGCAGCATCACCTGCAGGTTTTGATACGGTCTCTGTAGAGGCACAGTGGTACCACAACTGGCAATGTTGCTGTGATGACAAGACTTTCCACTTCCAGGATGCAAATTCCCTGAAACCACAAATTGTCATTTAACAAGATTTAACATATTGAAGATAATCATATTTCCTTAAAATGCTGAACTACTCCTTTAAGGGGTCACATGCCTGAAAGGTAGGGAAGCACTGGCTCAGAGGTTTCATTTGCATTTTTGAGTATAAACAACAGATACACAACCAGATGCAAGACCTGTACTTGGCTGACACTGAGACAGGATGTGAATATTGAAGATGAAGAGGAGCAGCCAGGAGGCCACAGCAGGATTCTTCATTCATTACTGTAGCCGGCCACACAGGATTTGTGTTTATTGTGAGCGGAGCCTTTTCTCAGTCATATCATTATCAGCAGGCTCATTTCCTCCACAACACCACCCCACCCTGCTTTAAGGTAAAGCTATGTGCTGTATACAGTTGAAGCCAGAGGTTTACATTTAAACTCAGTTTATCACAACTCCTGACATTGTGAAATGTCAGAGTAATAGTATAGAAAAAGATTTATTTCAGCTTTTATTTCTTCCATCACATTCCCAGTGGGTCAGAAGTTTACATACACTCAGTTAGAGTTGCTTGGGTCAAATGTTTCAGGATGCCTTCCACAAGCTTCTTCCGATAAATGAATAATTCCGTATGGTGAATGGCCAATGTTTCATTACGCACAATGAACTGGAGCCCTGTTGTAGACTACAGATGAAAGCTGCAAGTCTATTTTGGCAGAGTTAAGTGCAGCTCACCCTGCCTTTACCATTGTAAATGAGTTCTCGCTCACAAAGGAAGGCTGCCCTGCTGGCTCGGCCTAACCGGGCCCCGCCTCGCTCCACTGGCTCCTGGACTCACCACTCACAGGCTCCCTTTTCCATTTTCCAATGCGGCCAGGAGCCAGCTCACTTTATTGGGATTTTTAAAAGCTATTGCGTCAAACATTCATCCTCTGTCTCAACATGCTATAGACAGTTTCCCTTTTCTCCCTGCTTCACTTCATCTTCATTTCTCGCTCACCTTCTCTCTTTGTGCTATAGTATCTATCTCTCTCTCTCTCTCTATCAAAACTATCCCATTCTCCTGTTCTTCCTTAAACATATCCCCAGAGCTCACTCCAGTGGTTCAGTTTTGCCTAGCTTCTATTAAACCTCATAAGGAAAATCAACACTGCCAACACAGATGTTAGTTTCGGCCATATTAAATTTTCCCTCTTCCTTCTATTGCACTGAAACAAAGTCCTCAGTGTCCCAGGGGCCTGCTCTCATCTGCCTAGATTCAATTTAGGACTCACAAACTGATACAAACAGTCTGGACCCATGTTGAATGAAAGACTGGAGAGCGAAGAGACTGGCCTCAATTTTCTTCTTCTCTTTTATTATTATTCTGCCAGCAGCATGTCCCAGGGCTAGGCTGTGGTCAGCAGCTCTCTGCTGTACTGCAACAAAATAATTACAGGGACAATTGGAGAAACCACAATCAGTGGCAGACAAGGTGCATTAGACATGGTTAATCATTCAATCTGTCTCTGTGTTCTGTGCTTTTATGAGCATGTGTGCTCACATTCTTTTTCTGAGGATCACACAATGTGGAGTGTTTTTCCTCTGATTTCAACTTCCTTACTGCTGGAACCTGAAAGTGACATAAGCGCAGAGTTTCAGTCACAGAGCTCAAAATTCTTGCTAAACGAGACAGGACCTGTTCTCAGCAGAACTGCTTAGCTATGTATTTCTATATCATTAGAGGGGAGTATGTCCAGATTCTGCACAGAGGCACGTCATTTCAGCTTGCCAAGGGAAATGAGCACATCGGTAGGGGGTTCGAAGCTCTCGGCAAGACAAACAACACAGCATCTGTGTTCTTGGAGATGCATATCAGTGACAAATAGGGCCTGCTTCAAAACCCCAAAGAGTCCCCTAAAAGAGAGACAAATTGGGGTGCCATTTGTAAGATAAACGGGGATGATAATTCAGTCGGAAATTAGCTAAACGCAAGAATGAATCAAAGCTTTGTAACTAATTTGGACCCTCATGCTATCACTGCTATTACACTGAGATAAATGGTTGCCATGGTTACTTTTCAGCCTCCGACACTGTTTGTTTCATCATGAGGGAACAGTCTTTTAGTGCTGTTGCCCTGACATGGAGATGAGCTTCTGCTTTCTTGCAGGGATTACATGGACAGAAAACAGCCTCCATTAGTGTTAGCCTGCCACTATTTTCTATTCTTTCTCATTTAGGTTTTGTTAGTGAAGCTGTCTTTACTTTTCAGTATTTCAGCCATATTTCCCATTACATCATTAGCTGTACATCCACTCACTAATATCCTCATCTTCATTAGAAACAACCAGTCTGATATATTATCATACAGTACAAGTACTGACAGAATCAATTTTTGCTATATTTTGGGCCAAAATACATCAATTATTTTCTTTGTGTCGTGTCAGGGAGCTTTTGGCAGAGAGAGTATTTACACAGCAAAATGCTGGGAGACAATCTCAAGTAATGTACAGGCCCAGGAAAACAAGCCAGCATTACTGCAGTGTCATGCCTGTAGATAAAAACGGGTGATCTAAACTTTCAACATTTAAAAGAACAATGTACTAATTTATCCAATGTCGGCATTGTCAGCATTATTATTAGTATCACCCAGTGATTTTATTATCATCACTACATGCTGATCAAAATGTTTTCATCCTCTCTTTTCTTCATCTTGGCTGTGATAGTCTGCAGAGGTGCAAAAAAATGAAATTGTTTTCCTGCAAGACGTAACAAGGATAATGGTGGAAACGTCAGAGTGAATAGCCCGCAGGAGAAAGCGAACAAAACCAACAGATGATAGCGAATTTGATCTCCTATCTATGAGAAAGCGGAAAAACAAAACAGGAGTATGAAATCGATAGCTTCCTAAATCACCTAAGAGAGTGTTAGCACCAGCTCAGGGACTGGCAGTTTATGGATCCTCTCTTGCTCGCACGTACACACACACACACACACACACACACACACACACACACACACAGTATAGGTGCACACAAGGCAAACATGCAGACAAAGAACTTTCAAATTCTGAAGAAACAATTCTTCGTGTAAAAGTAAACACATCCACATGGTAAACAACTTTCTTTCTCTCTCACAATCACACACAAAACATACACACACACACACACACACACACATATAGCAACTCCTATTTCTGTTACACATGCACTCACACACTGACATCTGTAGCGACAATCCCTGAACAAAATCCCTTTAGCTGGTTTCTCTCTCTCTCTCTCTCTCTCTCACACACACACACACACACACAGGCAAGCCAAGGGTTTGGTTTTTTTCTTTCCTGTGAAGCAATTCAACCGCAAACCCAAACAACCTTTCACTCTGTCTTTGCCTCTGTCACACGCCCACAGACACATACAATCAAATGCATAGTTCCACTCACTTTCACGCACACACAATTTTACACTCACCCACACAAAATCGGGAATGCACACCTTCTCTCTACTCACACAAACACGCACTCATAAACTCCACTCCAACTTGCACACAAACACAAAAACCCTGCTGAGACTGAATGAGTGCAGTCAAAAAAAAAACAAAAAAAACAGCTTCACTTGGAAACAAAATCACACTTGTATTTTTAGGAAAAAGCTGGGTGTTGAAATCTGACATGCAGGAGGGGTTGTAAATACACACAATAAACTGCAGCACGGAGATATACTGAGCAAATAAAAATGATGTATTCAAGTTTTGATTGTAACTTGCGGTCATGTACTGTTTACTCACATCCCAGTTATAAATAGCTTAGCTGCAATTTTTACTCTTAAATTACCTTTACTACCCTGCCATGCTTCAACACTGCTTTATTCTTTATTGTGATGTCTTTTTTCATTAAAATGAAAAATCTGTGCTTGTTCATGTGCATGTATATATGTTTACCTTTTACTTAACTAAAAGTAGCAATACCAAAGTTTGAAATACTCTGTTACTAGTGAATGTTCTTCTGCTTGTCAATTTCTCACCGGGGATCAGAAGAACTGGTTATACTGTAACTAAACTAAAGTAACTAAAGTTATCAAATACATGTAGTGCAGTAAAGAGTACAATAGTTGCATATGAAATGTAGTAAAGCTGAACTATGAAGTAGCAGAAAATAGAAGTAAACCACAGATACCTCAAGATTGTACTTAAGTGCAATACTTGAATAAATGTACAGTACTTAATTACTTTTTCCACCAAGTGAAGAAGATGCCAAACAAAGAGAGCCATTAACGCGTCTTATTCAGCATTTTCCAAGCAGTGTCTCTGGGTGGTTAAGGTGAACATCTGGTCAGCTACGTTTAGACATTCCACCAAGGGTGAAACTCTTGATTCCTATTCTCAGGCTCATCTGCATATATTATCATGATCAGCGCTGACATGCAACCAGAGCAAGCTTCCACACTCCCTCAGTGGGCGGTAATTACAGCCACAGTGCTTGTTACATCCCAGAGACCGGATGAGAGTGACAAGTTAGAGAAGTAGAGAGGGATGAATGAGGCAGAGTGACAAAGAGAGGAAGAGGAAGTGAAAGAAGCGCAGTGTCAGAGTGATAGAGAGAGAAGGGAGGAGAGTCATTCTGCCAGATAAACAAAGGCGGAGGCGAGATGTTTGTTCAGCTGAGGAGATGCTGAGAAAAAAGCCAGAGGCTGTGCCTCAATCCTGCATAATATATTGTATGCTGTCATATCTGTATGCGGGCTCACTGGCAGAAGTGCAAGTGTGAATAGGGAGAAAGGGATGATGAGAGCGAGAGAGAGAGTGGAGGCAAGAGCTGTTTTTTCCTGGGCAGGAGGCAGGATGTGAATATCTAATCAATAGCTTTCAGGACTCAAGAGGATTTGATGTTGTGTGCTGCAGGACCCAGACACCCCAAGGCAAGATGAGCGCTCAGACCAGAGCAATGGAGCATGAATGCTACTGCGTAGAGGGCCGCTGTGATACAAACAAGGAGGATGGTTCGCTGACGACAGAAAGAAAAGAAATCAAAACCAACCTA